GGCCACCGATGCACTTTGTGCGAACTCTCACGTCTCATTTGTGTTGCCAATCTCAATTGTGCTCCGTACAACAACCTCCTGCATATCTCTTCTCAGAGAATCGTTTAGCAGATATGGAAAGCAGTTTTGAAATCAGCGTCCGAAGACGCATCAGCGCGTATGCATCTTGTCTTAAATGGCCACTTCGACCAACCATCCTTTCCTTGTCAGAACTCGCTTAGTTCTAACTCCCACGCGAGATAATCCCCCAGAAGGTAAGGGACCTGGGATGAACAATATCACCCCATCACCCCGTGTATATAATTCGCTTTTTCTGTTTGTTTGTTTGTGTGTTTGTAAGTTTGTAAGTTTGTTTGTCTGTTCGGAAATTCGGTTCGACCTGAAGAACGACTTGGAGAGGTCGGGTCAAGGTGGGGATGGGTAGGGGCTCGGACAAGGGATAAAAAGCACACTTGATCTATGCGAAGCCCCTCCCACAGTGGGCGGGCCACTCGCTGAAGTTTTGGGGTTCCGCAGAGAAATGTTCATAATTCGCTTCCGGAGCGGCCTGAAGATGGGGAAAACGTTTAATAAGGTTAGCAAGGAGTTGCCTGACTACCTGTGGGAGATGTTTTGAACTGCATCACTGTTCAAATGAGGTTTTGGTGGTTCAAGTGGTAGGTACATGTTTATTGATAACACATAGCGCATACAACGTGACTACAATTATTAAAACTACAAGCATAAACATATGAGGTTAAGCTACTAGTATATTCGTGTCAAGTGCAAGTTAAGTTGTGTTGTCCTGTGTTCTTCTTCAGGCGATAGCGGGTCCGCAGTGTCTTGTGTCTCGTCTCTTGTGTAGGCACATCGTATTCGTTCTCATTCCTGTGAGCTCGTAGTGTTCGGGTAGAAGTGTGGAGCTGCGAAAGCAGCTAAACTGCAAGGAGAAACTGTGAAGAGCTGAGCTGAGAAGAGGAGCTGACTGTGGAGAGGAACTGACTGAACTGAACTGACTGGCGGCACTCAGCGCGTTACCTTTATAGCCCTGATTATGGGCGGTATAAATACTGGCTGAGGTGGGCGGTGCCAAGGCCTCCTATTGGTTGGTTGTAGGCGGTGAGCGAACTTTCTAGAAAGTGTGCATTTGCGACCCGTGCATCCTAGTCATCATGACCAAGGGTCATGACAGGAGACACCCCCAAAATGGGCTGGGCGTACTCAAGGTAGGCGGTGCTTCTCATAAAGCTCAGTAACCCGGTTCGGGAGAGTGTTTAGAAGCCGCAAAATCCCCATGCGGAATGTAATTATCTGGCAAGCGTTGGGCACGCTCAAAGTATGTTGAAACCCACCCACAGTAGGGGAAGTTTGCCCTAAATCGGAGGATACTCATTTTAAAAGTTCGTAGCTCGGTACAAGAACACTCCAGAAACCGGAAAAAAAGGATCAAGGTCAGTGAGAGCTCGACCGATTGAGGGTTGTGGGACACAAACACTGTGGGCGGGGCCTGCTCCGAGGCGGGCGCGTCAGACGAAAAATCTGTAGAACGGTTCCAGAGCACTGCAGAGACCGGAAAAGTGGATAAAGGTCAGCAGAGGGTCGCCAGCGAGGATTGTGGGGCACAAACATTGCGGGCGGGGCCTGCTCCGGGGTGGGCGGAGCCAGACGAAAAATCTGTAGAACGGTTCCAGAGCACTGCAGAGACCGGAGCAAATTAAGTTGGTCGCCCATTGAGGAATGTGGGGCATGAATGTTGTGGACGGGGTCAGCCCGAAGTGGGCGGAGCCAGACAAAAATCCACAAAACGGTTCCAGAGCAGTCCAGACACGTCAACATGTAAGCAGAGATGTGCAGGACCTCAACTGTTGGATATGTGGCAAGAGTTGAGCGTGTCTGTGGTGTGTTGTAACCCGCTCCCAGTGGGCGGGGCGCACCACTTACTTGTTCTTACTTTTAGCGCGTTTTCTGCCATATTCTTAACGACCGGTCGTCCTAGGTATTAGATTCCTGTCGGCTCGGCGGCTGATGCCAGCGCTCTTCCTCCTCTGATACGGCCCAAGATGACCGGACGGGCACGACTTTGCCACACATTCCTTCCCCGGCTGTTCTCTCGCCTGTGCCCATAATCGACGCACTTTAGTACCACTCCATACTCAGTGGTAGTCAAAATAGCAGAGATGTATTGTATTTGTCGTGGAGCTTTAACCATGAGTACAGAACAAAAACTTGATATCAGTTGAGCGCTCCCATCCCCCCCCGGCACAGCTGAGCCGTATCACGAGGAGCCTCGCCGGCGTGAGCCGGCGAGCCGACTGGTTTCTAAAAAGCGCACCACGCTCTGAATGACCCCAATTGTTAGCCCTCTCTTCTCAATGAGGTCACTTCGCAGCTAGGCACCAAGTTTTCGCACCTCATTAAAGCTGTTTCGCTGCCAGCCGCGAACCACCTCTTAATTAGGTGCGATCGTGCCAATTATGGCTAACCCATAATCTTCAGGCTGGTTCGCTTTTGAGATATTTGCAAAAAGTCGGGCTTAAAAGCATATGCATCAACCTAATAATTTGTGCTGTTCATCATTTTACTATCAATAAACATGAAATAGGCGGTTTCTGGTTCCTCGACTCTCCAAGAAGGCTGTTCCTTTCTCGCATCCTGTTGTTACCAGTCGGATTGCTGCCCGATCCTCCTGCGCGTGCAGTTACTCTCCCCCACACAATTCCAGAAAATAGAGGGCCAGTCGGATCGGTAAGCAGTATTTTTGTGCTGTTCGGCTGCTTCCAGTTGTTTAGCGTCAGTACGCACAACCGATTGTCAGAACAGAGCTGGGTGTATTTAGAAGTGACAGTTCCCCAGTTAGTAGAGGAGGTATTTAGTACCTTCTCTACTAACTGGCGAACTGTCACCTCTAAATTCTAAGGCTAATACGAAACATTGATTTATGCCACGTTCGCAGCAGGTGTACCTCCCTCGCCCGTCCACCTATTCATTCTCTATCGTTTGCCACTTTTCCCACTCATCGGGCTCTTTTGGAACCGATTTACAAATTTTCGAAAGTTTTGTGGCAAGCACCGCCTACCTATAGAATATGCCGCCCCATAATAGGCTGTCTCACTCATTTCGTCCACTAACTGATTTCCTATAGTTTTCCACATTTTCCCCTCTCCGGGCTCTTTTGGAACCGATTCACTAATTTTTGCAATATGTAGTCCACATCGCACGCCGTGCGCACGCCCCGCCCACAGTGGGCGGGGCTTAGCTCAGTTTGTGCGTGTTTCGTACACCTGGGCCCATGCCCTAACCACCCCATCCTTGACCCTCCTCCTCAAACTTGCTCTTCATGTGATGCCGAATCTCCGAAGAGACAAACACACAGACAGTCAGACGTTGCCGTTTATATATAGTAGGATAGAATATTTTCTCCAGGCACACTGACTTTCTATGTGCCTGCGATATTTATTGCAATTACGGACTGCTTCGGAGCAACATTGAGATGATTGCGGTTTCATCGTTGTTGTCTGCTCTACGTGTCTTATTTACATGAGGCTGGTCCGGGAAAAATAGCGGCAGCAGGATTTGTGTCCGAAACGACTGCCTTTCTCGAGCTTTTCGCCGTGTTGTGAAAAACATTCCGATACTCGATTGAGCACGTGCATTCGTAGCTCTTAATAAGCGATGGAATCTCTCTGGCTTTTATTTAATCGATTCTTCCTATCCGTTGAGGTTATACGCGTCACTTTTCCCCTTTGAAAATTTATCACTTTGACTTACTCGTGGCAACTTCATGGCTATACCATCAGCCATTCCAGTGACGAATAGACTTTAGTTGAACTGGAAATACCTTAACAACCCAACCGTGATTCTATTTTATCGTTTTTTACAAGTTCTGCTAGCTGATTCCTCCGTTTTACGGCTACTTTTTCTTTTGTTCGAGATCACTGGCAGCCTACCTACGAATCCACTTGCAGCCTATATTTTATTTCCGCAGTTTTTGATCTTCGATGCTACGTCTGCAATTTCACCCTATTCTTTTTCGTTTCCGTATGACGTCGCTTACAAGGGAGGTCGTTCAGGCCTGGTGAGCTTTTTCAAAACGGTTTGTTGCATGTTGTAGGGGTCTATGCGAGGACCATAGCGATGGTGTTCATTTTTGCTAAACGGTACTGGGAATTTCAAAAAAATGTCAAAAAATAATTCGAAAAGAATAGCCTTTTTAGACCACCTTCTTTGAGGTCCTTCTCACGATAACTGTTGCTCGCCGTAAACCACTTTGGTCGCCACGCGGATTTGTGAGAAGGTCTCATACTTGGGTAATTGAACCTTTATTTTGAATAATTGTAATAAAAATATACGATACATATATAAAATACGAATGCCTAAGTGAATATCTAAATGTAAGTGCTTACAAAACCTTAATCTTCCAGATAACGCCACCTGTAAACGATTGAAGCACTAAGAATGAAAGCGATATAACGATTAAGGAGTAACGCGAGAAAGCTGATGGCAACGCGAGATTATGATACGCGAATGAGCTATCCTTTCTGGCAGACACCCTTTTATGCGGCGACCAGACGCAGCACTGTGCGGCCCGCAATCAGCCTCCTCGATCAGCAACAAAGTTCCCTCGAGCTCCTAAACCCGCTATCGATTGATATTAGAGAGAGTAACATAAATAACATACGATAAATATAACATAACATACATGCGATAAATACAATACACGATAGTTAACACGGGACAACTGTTCGAGTTAAAAGGTCTACCCTACGTACACATTTCAGAGTTATAGCTTATGATAAGACCACTGTTGTCGTCACTCCAGTCGGCAAAAAAAATTATTCAGCACCAAGAATTCATACAACATCAACGACAATAACTGCGATCACTAACTATCCTTCTTCCAGCCACTCTTGAGTCCACCAGTACCTGTCGGTCCTTTCTCGATATTCCGTGGTGTGTCCTTCCTCCGGTTGTCGTGATCCTGGCGTTCATCCGCGCTACGCGATCTGTCGTGATGTCTCCTCTCAATCACGTTGTCTTTCCATCGTTACCGCTGCTAACTCTCCGAGCAGATCCCGTAACTCCTGTCTGGCTTCTTCGATAAGCAAGCGTGCGTCCCCTCGTTTATCAGGCACGTCGCACAAATCTGTATGATGCCCGGTATCCGTTGGTATGAGCGACTCGAAGGGTGTTCCTCGTACGCGATCGTAATAGAAACACGACTTTCTTCTATAGGAACATCTGTTTCTATTTCTGCAGTGTGTCAAGCAGTGTTGGCAGACGAATCGGTCTTGTGTTATGTTCCATCGGTCACTTCCTTCCGTGATGTTAGGGCAGGAAACGGAGAAATACTCCCCGGTTACATCACAAAACGCGCACCGTACCATCGATCGTATGCCTGGTGAGAAGTGCTCCTTCTTCCTGTAGGGGAAAGTTAGTAACATAGATTCCATTTTCTCTATGTCGTTTTTCACATCTTCGATGAGTCTTCTCAGCTCATCCGCGTTTCGTCTTCGGTACAGCTTCGCATGTTCTCCTAGGGGGTAACTGTCTGCCGGTGTGCCCGTTGACAATGGAAGGGGCTCGTTTTCCGGTGATGATGCGCGATTTCGAGCTCCCCTTTCCTCTTGATCTTCGCTGCTGCTCGACTTCTGCCGAGGGACGCGTTCAACCACTCGATCTTCATAGACCTCCTGAACTTGGGCCTCCTACACTTAAGCCTCCTAGGCTCCTGGGGGTTCTTGTGCAGGTATGCGATCACTCGGTTCATCATCACTGGGTTCCGCCGCTCCCGGTAATACGAGTTCAACGACGCGAACACTAGTGTTTGCTGGAGTTATCACCAGTGGTTCCTCAGCCCTTCTTTCGTCATTATCAGCTTCAGCTGTAGGCTGATACTCCATTTGTTCGTCCTCGTCGTCTCCATCGGACGCAAGTGGTGGAGGAGTTTGAGGTTGACTGATCTCCTGCATGTCGTGAACCTCTTCGACCATACGGGACCAGTACGCGTCGTCTGTCATTTCTACATCTGTCGGGCGCGGTTTCAGATGTGGCTGTGGCTTCTGAATCTGTTCCTTCAAAAGCGATATCTCCGCTGCTTGCTCGGTTATTTTCTTCTGCAGCTCTTCGAAACGCTTTTCCGCATCGTCCCGGTCTGAGGATTTCAGGTTGTCGAATGCTTTACGGAAGAGTCGGTTGATGTGTTCTGCATTCGTCTGACAAGGACCTACATTTAAATCCTTTTCCGCCTGTGTCCATTCCTTTTCCATTTCCTGGAGTAGAGACGTGAACCGTCTCATGTTTTTATCTAATTGGAGAAGCATCCCTTCCGCTTGGTAATCCCATTCTTTCTCGCATATTGTGATCTTCCTTGATACTGCGAGTTCCTTGTAGTAGCGGTCCGTATAGATGAAACGTGTTGCCATGCGCGAAAATCTTTCTGTTGTGAGAATGAGGTCTTTCATTTGCTTCGCCAAGGTTCGAATCCTGTCTCCAGGTGTTCCGAGAATGAAAATCTGATCCGTAACAATATGAGTCCATTGTAGTTAGATCATTGACGCGACACTAATTTCTCGATGAAACGCTTCCTCGATCGCTTTTAAGTCTTCATGTACGCGATTCAACGCGGTATGACGGTGGAGTATCAGAGTGGAAAGATACGCGATGTCACTGTCCACGTCTCGTTCGGCCATCCTGAAAATCGCGTAAATTGATGAAGAACTCGACTCTCGTGTGTGCATGGGATTATGTCTAAGCGTGATTTTTCGTGCAAAGCGAAACACTGTTTCGATCTTGGACATGACGTATAACCCCAGGTAAGTGCACTCATAGTGATTTTTCGTGCATCGTGCGAAAGGACTTCGACAGAACAAGGAGAACGCGAAAACAGGTACTAAAAAACAGTCACCGTTGCCGCGCTTACTCGTACTACTCCTAATACAACTTTGGGTCCCCATGTCCATATGGAGATGTATGTAACTATGATTGCCAGTGCTAGTGCACCTGTTGCCAGAAGTAGGGTGTTATACCACTGAGCGAAAAGTTGGCAATATGGAAAACATCGGGGAACTCGATGTCTTGAAAGCTGTTTGTTCGGCTTTCGATTCATGAGCTTATCATTTCTTCTACAGAATACGTAAATTTTAGGATTCCGCCTATTTCGAATGTGGACAGGACGGGTCCGCATGAAACAGAACATCGGCTATTTATGCGGGCCTTTGTGAAGCTGAATCGTAATAAAGATTCCACACCGTCTACGTTGCAGGGAACGACAAAACTCGCATCGCTGCATACAATTTCCGCTTGTGCTGGTCGGGATGACCTGCAGATGATACGCGCCTGCGCTCCCTTCGCGCAGTTGTAACAGCCCGTGAGTACGGCATTTGACACTCTACATATGGCTTCATCCACCAATATATTCGTCGCATACTCGTTGTCGAGATTGAGCACTATCTCGGACGTTACCATCTTGGACACGCTAGCTTGCACTAGACCGTCCTTATCTCTTCGGAATGCCATGGTGGGTGTAATGACCGGGAAACGATGTTGCAGGCTTTCAAACCATGTGGCAATGCTTATTTGCCTACACTTGCAGTTGGCTTTTGTCTCTGCTGGATAGCAGGTACAGTCGTCTTGCACTTCACAGTCCAGTTTCGCCGCCTTGCGTTGGAGCAATGTAGCGGGGGCGCTAAACTCGAGTCCCACCACGCCGTCTCTTTGGTGTTCGATATGAAAGATTTGCTTAGAAGCGGCGTGGGAGGTACCGTAATGGAGCTTAGTGTCAAGGAGAACGCGTTCCATCGTACAGGTACACTTGGTATCATGTGAATAACGCGCTTCTTCCTGTTGTTAGTTATTGCGTCAAATGCACAACCTCTATTTTTGCTGCTTCTTTTCATCGACTACAGTGAAAAATTTCGTACGTTTCGGAGACTGGAACGCGATAGAATAAGCATTCTGATCCCCAATACCAGCAGTCGCAGCCCCACACGACTCTACGCAGTAGGTTGTACCTGGGTATGCATTTCCCTGCTCCAACTCAGGAATGAGGGTGGAGCCATTGATTTGAGCGCATTTAGGCCCGTTGCAAGATCCCATATGCGGGCAGCGTTTGCTGTCCCCTACGCGATACTCTGCATCCCTTGTGAAGTAGTCTGTCTCTGGCTCACACGTGAGCATGAGGGATCTCCAAGTTAGTCGAATTTCATGGACGGTAGTAGAATTCGTCTTTGTCTTGAAACAGGCTTCTCGCTTGAACGGACTGATTTTAAGTACCTCCGACAACTGGACCTTGCATAATTGCCGGTTTCCTGAAGTGCTACAGAGGGTGCTATGATGGGAGAAAATATTCACTTCCTGACACCCATATACCGTGTACATGAACGATGCTAGGCTTATCACATGGGCCAGTAGTTAAGTCAGATCCACCGTTGCCCTGCGACGAGCGCGGCGACTTCTCCCGCGAATCGTCCTATAAAAGCAGCCTCCCAAACGTCGTAGTCCTGTGAGGAAAACGCGAATGGGTGTCCCTAGCACCAATGGGATGTAGAAAAATGCACAGCAGCCTGTATGACGAAGTAGAAAGTCACCGCCGTTACCCAGATGGCTCCTACCGGCCAGCACTCCGGGTTAAATACCAAAGTCGAACAGAATGTACACTCGATGTGGTCACAGAATGGTGCGGAGGGACAGGTTGTTTCTATCGTTATAAGCGAAGTGTCCTTCAAAATTTTCCATTGAACGTCATATTGAGAAGTATTATTCGAGATGGGAGTCTCACCGACTCAGTAATATTGGGCCACGCGTAGTGTATATAGTAATCTTCCGCACAGACCTCGTACGGTAATTGATCGGTTTCCGTAAGTTCAACGCCGCCTGGGATGCCACGAATGTATTGTCCATTACGCGAATGGGGGGGGGGTTGTCCGCCCCAAAGCTGAAACCGATCAGCGTAGTAATGATAGCCAGGCAAACCGTATTCGTGGTCAGTGTTGAGTACACGCCATGACCTTTACTTTGCCCCATCTTTCTCGGTCGGAGATTATAACGCGGAGCTGCCCGTCCAGCCGGCTTGGTACCTATGTTCCTAGATTCTGATGTTTCCGAAATATCGTCCGCTGTTGGTGTTGGAGTCGACGTTGGAAGGGATTCTGAAAAGCTATCATCATCACCCAGTTCGAGCGGTACTAACAGATTCACCGGTCTTCTAATCTTCCTACTCGACGGGAGTAATATTACAGCTTCTCTAGCTACGTCCTCATTTTTGACTAAATCCACAATGCGTCCCATTTTCGACTGATAACGCAGTTGGAGAGCATCACGGATCAATACCATCTTTCCGACTTCAGGGGTCAAACTCGACCCCGCTTCTTTTCTACGTCTCGCTGGTGTTTTTCTCGAAGGGATGTAAGGTGTTGTGACTGCCACGTGTGCCAAAACTTTTCCGTCATCTGACATGAACGTTTTAGCGCCTCCAAAGCTTGCATTTTGGATAGCTACACGATCTGGAGTAACGTACGTGGGGTCTGTAGTGTCATCTTCTGCAACGTCCAGGGGAGTCGAAACTTCAAATTCGTTTTAAAGAAAATTGGGTCTTAAAACTCGATTTGTGTCCAACTCTGACTCCACATATGTCAATGGCCTAGTGTTTAACATCCCTTCAATTTCTACAATCAACGTCCCTAACTCATCGCGGGTGGGAGTTGCCTTCCCCAGGAATTTACGCATTTCAAGTTTTACTGACTGAATGAGACGTTCATACACCCCTCCCTGCCATGGTGCATAGGGTGTTATGTGAATCCAATTTATTTGTCTAATGCTCACTTCTTTGTCTATGGTCATATCCTTTCTTATCCGTTGAAAATATTCGGATAAAATGGCGTCCCCTGACGCGAATGTAGGAGAGTTGTCACTCGTAATCGAAAGCGGAGTGCCTATCCGCGAAAAAAATCGTCGCAACATTTGAAGAAACGCGATAGTTGAGACGTCTGCTACTATATCGGGGTGGATTAAGCTCGTAAACATACAGGTGATAATACATCCGTAGCACTTGTCTACCCGCTCTTCACTTTTGACAAATAAAGGTCCGAAGTAGTGCCTACATGTGCAAACGGACGCGACCTACCTACTCTTCTGGTTGGCAGGTCACCTTGTTCGGGATACTTATACGGTAAGTTATTTAACTTTTGGCACGTTACGCATTGCCTGATTAATTTGGTTGTTTCCGCTCTAAGCTGAGGGATCAAATAATTTTCTCTTACGCGACACATTCTATGGCTTGTGCTGAGGTCTAGCCTGCTGTGGCAGTCTGTTATGATCATCTGTGAAAGCCATGTCTTTTGTAGAATGAGCATGGAAAACTTGGCTTCCTCTTCTAGATCGCTTTTCCCCAGTCTTCCCGGCATCTCACTATTCCGTACTCATCCTCATAAAGATTGAGGTGATTAAGCGACTTGAGAATTATCTGAGGAGCGTGGGAAAGCTGGTGCTGTTTGACTAGCATCGCAGCCGCCAAACGCACTTCTGTCCCTTTTACTCTTAAGGAGTCTCCTATAGAGTCTTTCATCTGTTGAAAAATGAGTGAGAGCGTACGCGGAGATGTTCTTATTTTATTTACGCGGTCAATAAGGGTGGTAATAAACCGCAGAATATAAGCGACCACGCGTTTAACACTGGAGAAACTCGAAAATCGATTGCTCTGAAAAATACCTTCAAACTTTCCTTTTGTGCATGTTGAAACGCGATTTTCTGTGGCCGTATCTTTAACATCGTCCCATTTTTCAACCTCGTCATGGGATGTGCTCATCAGAATCAGAGTATACGCGTACTTCCTGTGTTCGCATTACTGGACAGGAAGCTGGGCCCGTTCCACCAGAAGTGATCCCTTAATTGCGTTTTGTCGAGTCCTCTCGTGGCGCAATCTGCTGGGTTGATCTGAGAGGGTATGTGTCCGAACCGTACGGGATAGCCACATTGTTCCAAGTAAGCTGCTATCTTACGGATTTCTAAAACGCGATTTCTCACGAAAGGGCCCATATCCGCTTGCGAATCTTTTGCAATCTAACTCAAAATGGTTTCCGAATCCGTCAGGATGAGGATTGACTTTATAGAGACAATAGCGTCCATTTGGGAAACTACCGAATTTGTAAGGCGCATAGCCAAAGTCAATGCGCTTAGTTCCATTTTGGGAATTCATTTTCGCTTCCAGTGAAGGAAGCTTTCCTTTAGCCATGAGTAAGTCAACCGATGTTCCGGAGCATAGATAGATACATGATGCCATGGCTTCCATACTAGCGTCGGCAAACGTAACCAGTCGAGCCTCCGAGTACTTCCTGATTAAAGAACGCCTCTGGAACCCTTGTATATCCTTGACGAGTTTCCCATTCCGTCTTACGATCTTCTGAAAGGGGTGTATCCCAACTAAGTTCATCTTTCCACAGCGATTGTAGGAAGACCTTTGCCCTGTGCACTAATGGCAATATCCACCCCATGGGATCGTACACCGACGCGATGGCTGGCACTCGCTATGGAACGCTTTGTGGTCTCTCTTGACTCTATCATTTTACAAGCGACATGGATCTTATCATCCAATGTAGTCCATGGAATACCTAAGACTTTGGGATCCACATCCGTAGATCTGTCACCCGATGCGATTGTTTCCATGAATTGATTGTCATTGGGACTGAACTCCCTTAAGTTCATTTTTGAGTCTTTGAAAATATCTTTAGTTTTAGAATACGCGCGAACCGCTTCTTTGGGTGAGTCCATAGTAAGGAGAAGGTTATCTACATAGAGATTTTCTTGATCTCTCTGATGAGTTGTTCATCATCAGAATACTGATCTAGGCGGTAATGAGTTGTAGCCGCCAATAAGAACGGCGAAAAGTTACGCGTGTAAATCTGAAGATCCTCAAGTTCTTAACACTGGGGGAAATCGTGTGATTCTGCAACCATAAGCAACGCGTGGCATCCCTATCTATGTGATGGAGACAAACCTGTAGAAGCGCCTTCTCTGCATCTGATATCAAGGCGATACGCCCAATCCGGAATCGCAGCAGAATACCATAAAGTTTGGGCAGAATCACCGGGCCTCTATGCAACGCGTCGTTTAAGGACGGAGAGTTCTTATAGTGGGCTGATGCATCAAAAACAATCCATACTTTCGTTGTGGTTTTCTTTGGGGTCAACACTGCATGATGAGGAAGATAATGAACTGTGCCTTTCACTGGTTTGTGTTCATCTGGGACCTCTTCTATAATATTCAAGTTCAGCTGTTCTTGAAACATGCTGTTATATTTTTCCAGGAAATCCTTGTCCCTATTTAGTGAGGACCACACGCTTACGAGACGCCGTAATGCTATGGCTCTGTTGTCCGGTAATGTCGTTGAAATGTCCTTCCGAAGTAGACGTACATAGTAACCATCATCTTTTTTCTCAATCGTGTCTAAGAAGTTCTGGAGGACCTTCTGATCCACTAACGCCTGAACTTCTTTTTCCGATCTCGTGAAGTCCTCTGTACCGTCCTGTTCTAAAGACCAGTACCTATCCCATAATCCTTTTTCGTCCATATCGTCAGGAAGGCTCTCGAAGGAAAGCGGGTTCATCTGGGCTTCGAGGGGCCAAGCTTGTTCCCGTTCTTGGCCGAGCTGCTTTTCATGATCTTCTGAGTTTCCTATTACACGAGTAACTTGATGTCCTTCTTGAACTCTACCTGTCAGCAGATGGCCTAAATGAGAAGATGGAGTCCTGATGGAGGGCTTATGTGGTGTGTTCATCCGGTCGGATAAGTTGCCACATTTGATC